CCCCCCATTTTCTGCATCGGTACACTTTGAGTTGGAATGACAAGTGACGCGGCGGAAGGGAGCTCCAAAGCCCCCCCGGTGGCCACCTTGCGTTCGCTCTGGCTTGAAAACGTCTCGGCGCAGCTTTGATGCTGGTTTGTGTCTCCGTCGTGTGTGGCCCAAAAGTCACGTGGACGGGTTTTTTCGGAGCGCGCTTCACGATGTTGCCAGAAGCATGCGCGACGACATCAATGGGGCACTTTGGATCGAGGGGGGGGGCTGTGACCGGAGCACAAAACAATTCAAGCCGATGTTGCAGAGCACACATTTGCACACTTTAATGCGGCCCAATCGGACTTTTTGGGTGAAATCGGGAATGACTTCGAGGGCTCCACCCTTTGAGCCAATTTCAAGTGTTCAGCTTTTCAACGAGGGGATGGAAATGGGAAAAAAAAAGGCGCAGCGATTCCTGGAGTCATTGACAGACGACTTTTGAAAATAAGCTTCGGTTGCAGACGCGGCACGGCCGAAGGGGCGTCGGGCCGCGGCCCGTCCTTTTGCTGGCCCGTTGTCGCGCGCTGATGGGACGCCTCGGCTCTTCTTGTGCGAAGGTTCGTCAACTTCCGGGACAACCCGCTGACGCTGGAGATCACCGCGACCGGCCCCGACGACGACGACGACGACGACGACCGGGAGATGTTCTTTTCAGAGTTCATGCTGACGTACATCCGGGAGGCCCGCGAGAGAGCGCGCGCGGCGCCGGGCTCAATGTGAAGGCGGGCCGCCGCGCGAGGCGCCCAAACGCCGACCCCGCTTACGAGGGGAGGCGGGAAGGAGGAGACGAGGGCGGGCGGGGCGCGGCCGTCAACAGGACGTTCTCCGGGGTCACCCCGGCGCCGACGTAACGCGTCAGCCGCGCGTCGAATCCCTCGGCGCGCAGGAACTCCACTCTGCCGGCGTCCAGCAGGAGCTTGCAGCGCCGTCCGATCCGCTCGCGCTCCGACGGCGACGGAAGCCCGCCGTCGCTTTTCGGCAAATAAAGGCACGTGAGCGAAGGCGGGGCCCGGCGATTTGTCTTCATCCGCAAGGGGTTACCTGGCCTCCTCGGCGCCCGCCGCCCGGGGGGCCGCCCGAACGCCGCAGGTGGCCCAGCTGGACATGCGGCAGAACGCCGAGAACTCGGCGGGCCCCAGACCCAAATCCGAGAAGAAGCGCCGGCCCACGTAGTGGCGCCACTCGCAGCGGTGGTGACAGCACAGCGCCAGCGCCAGGCCCGCCACGCCGCCGGGGTGGGCCGCCTCCGCTTTCAAGCGCTTGGGGGGCCGGCCCGCTTCTCGTCCGGGCGTCGGCCGGCTTCGGAAGAGGCAGCGAAGAGCCAGATCTGGAAAAAAAGGACATTATCAAAAGTCCCATTCGCTCCGACGGCGGCGGCGCGGCCGGATCGCTGAGCCGCTGTCCGCAAACGACGGCTCCGCCCGGGTTTAGCGACGGCGGCCGACGGGCCTTTCTCGCGCAACGAGCGGGTCGGTGCCAGGAAGCGCGCCGCCGTTTGGCAGCAAACAAATTGCATTCCAAACGAGGACCAACACGCAAGCGCCGCAGCCGCTCAACACGAACGGAGCCTGGAGACCCGCGCTCGCTCTTTGCCGACGACTACGCGGGGCCAACGCCCCGAAAGACGCCCGAGGGCGAACGCTCGCGGCACGGCGGCCGAGCGCGACGTGGCGTCTCACCCGTGGCCGCGCCGCATAAATGCTTCCCGACTCCGACCAGCGGCAGGCGCCGTTCCAGCAGCGGGACTTTAGCTGCAAAAGCACAAAGAGGGGCGTCGCCGGCGCGCTCGGCACTTTTTGCGCCAAGCGCTCCGGCCGGCGTCTTACTCAAATCCAGGTGCTGAATGTCGATGTGCAGCCTGGCAAACTCCACGTCGCCCCCCCGATGTTTGCCGTCCACCTGCGCACACCACAGGAAAGCCTCGCTTTGAAAGGTGCGGGCGACGAAGCGACGGCATGGGGTTCGGCCGGCCGCCCGCCTTGAATCGGGTGCTGCTGCGCTCCACCAGCAGCATCTGCAGGCGCTCCGGCGGGTGGCCCTCCAGGGCCCGGTGGATCCAGTGCGAGAGTTTGCCCCGCCCCGCCCCAAACTCCACGAAGCAGCGGCCGCGTCGCAGCAGCCCCAGCGCCTCCAGGTGGCCCAGGATGGAAGCCTGCGGGGGGGAGGGAAAGGAAAGGGAAGGGAAGGGAAGGGAAGGGAAGGGCCGCTCGGACGGCTTCGGGCTCGGGGCCCCGGCCGGCGTCTACCTGCTGCTTCAGGTGCTTGCGGGCCGAATCGCCGTTCTTGGGGTTGTCGGCCTCCTCCCGGAACACGGCGTGCGACAGGACGCGCTCCTCCGGCTCCCGCGGCAGCCCTGCGGCCGACACGGGCGGCGTCACCGACGGACCGACGGGCGCGTCGCGCCCCCGCCCCGCCGGCCCAGTCACCTTTTGAAGCCGAGTCCAGTTTGTCCAGCAGCTGTTGTAACTGGGCGGCGCTCCGCTCGCACAAAGTCACCTGCCGACGCAGCGGGTTACCGAGGCGTCGCGACGCTCGCGCGCTCCACGACGAAAGCGAAGCGGGCGTCACCTGTTGGAGCGAGTGCTGGCTTGGGACGGGCGAGCCGGCGTTGATGTCCTCCGCATAATACGCCTGAGGAGGACGCAAAGCAACGGACGGACGGACGGCTTTTCCACGCAACGCTCCCACCAAAATGCGGGCCCTCACTCACCGGCTTTGCCTTGTCACGAGAGTTGCACTTCTTCAAGTGCGCTTCCAATTTGTTTCGGTTGACCGTGCTGACGAGAGACACACACACACACACACACACACACACACACACACGACGTAAATGAAGCCAGCACGGCGTCTTTGTCGCCGGCCTCTCACACGTCCGCGTGCCCACAATGCAAAGCGTCGAACAAGGCCTTCCGTTCTCCACGTGCGGAAATGTGAAAGCGTCGGCGTTGCTCACTGCTTGGGGTCGAGTGGACAAACGATCCTCCCGCCGCCGCCGCCGCCGCCTTCTTCCTAAAACATGTGTCGCGCGACGTGGTCATCATCGTCATCACGGAAACGCGTCGAAATGAGGAGAACGTCGCCGTTTGCTTTGCCGACATGGCGATGAGGATGCAGAAGCCGCACGTTTCCTCCAATGACTGATCCAACCACCGTTGAAAGCATTTCAGATCAACATCGCGCGAGGCGAGGCGAGGCGAGGCGAGGCGAGGCGAGGCGAGGCGAGGCGAGGCGAGCCGAGCGCCTTTTCGCCATTCTCAATTCAATAGTTTGCAATCGTTCCGTTTCGACGTTCGAATGCAGCGAGCGAGCCCTCGCGGTGGGCTTCGACGGCGTTGGTGGTCGCGAGGGCGCCGGGGGAGCTCGGCTCGGCTCGGTTCCCTTCCCGCCGCCTTTGGGCACGAGGCGGGCTACGTCCCGCGCCGACGTGGGATCTCGAAAGCGGAAAGCGGACGCGCCGCCGCTACCCGTCAGGTGCCGCTCAAAGCTTCCAACTTGTCGCCGGAGCGTCTTCGTGCGCGAGTGAGGAAGAATGGCCAAGGTTTTCTTTCGTCAAGCCAATTGAAAAGGCGTCCTACTCACGGAGACGTTGTTGGCGTGTTCCCCGCAAAACTCGCGTCCTTTGGCCACGACCATTTTACAAAAACGTTTCTTTTTTTCCACGAAGAATGCACATTTGCCGTTTCGGTCGGTCGCGGGCGCCGCCATGTTGGCCGAGTTGTGGTGCCGCGTTCGCGTGCTGACTTGGAGGGGGGCGGGCGGGCGGGGGAGGGGAGCAAAAAAAGTCGACGCCGCTTCTCCTTTAGTCTGAAGAAAGAAGAAGGTCGACGGTGACCTCAATGTTTTGGGCTTGCACCACTTGCATTTTCGCGCTCGTTCAACAGGAGCACTTTTGGTTCAGCAAACGTGATTGCGATCACAAGTTTTCACCGACTTGACAGAGATCTCCATAAAAGCCTGAACTCTCCACTCTCTTCTCATTGGTCATCTTTTGTCGCGCTTGTTCTTACGCCTTCGCCGATTGGTGGCTTTCCAATTCGCTCGCCATCTCCCCGCCCTCGACGCCACGGGAGGGGCGTGTTCTGAAGGCGAACTTGGTGACGTCCCCACCGGACCGGCCATGATGCCATGATGGCGACGAAACGGGGCGCGGGCGGCCGCCGGCGCGCGGCG